CAAAGGATAGAGCAGGATTTGGTTTAGTTGGAAAGTTGGCAGATGGAGTTTAATCTGGACAAGAGTGAGGTAATGTATTTTGGGACATCAAATGCTAGAGGAAAGCAGAAAGTAAATGGAAGGAATACGAGGAGAATTAATATACAGATGGATTTTGGGGTGCAAATCTATAACTCCCTGAAATTGGATAAAGGTAGTAAAGAAGGCGTACAGCATGCTTACCTTCATCAATTAGGACATCGAGTATAAAAGATGACAAGTCACGTCGCAGCTGTATAAAACCTTAGTTAGGCTATATTTGGACTATTATGTGCAGTTTCAGTCATTGTACTATAGGAACAATTTGTACAACGTGCAAAAAGATGTTGCCTAGATTGGAATGCATTAGCTATAAGGAGAGGTTGGACAAACTTGGATTGTTTTCAATAGAGCGCCGAGACTCGGAGTGAACTGATAAAAGTAGGTAAAGTTATGAAAGGCATAGATAGTCAGATTCTTTTAGGTGGAAAGGTTTAAAGGTGAGAAGGGCAAGGTTAAAGGAGACGTGCAAAGCACTTTTTTTAAAACACAGAGGGTGGTAGATGTCTGCAACATGCTGCCGGGGAGGTAATAGAAGCAGAGATGATAGCAAATATTTAAGGGGTATTTAGAAAGACATGTGAACAGGCAGGAAATAGAGGGATACAGATCATATGCAGGCACATGGAAACAGTTTAGAACAGCGTCATGGCTGGTGCAGATATGACGGGCTGAAGGGCCTGTTCCTATGCTGTACTGTTCTACATTCTATGCAATTTAAGACAAATAGACACAAATTTCTTTTGTCTCCATAAAAAAGTACATTGAAATTTCCATATGATTCATAAAAGAAGAAAAAATATCTCAAACATTAAATTAAAAATACTTTTCCCTCTTGCAGTTTTGCTTTCAAAGTTTTTGGGGAAATCCAGTAATTCAGAGACAGAGACAATCTGAACTACATGCAGTAACAAAATAGGGACTACATCAGATTTGTGAAATAAGGCAACGGCTAGATAAGCTGATACAGTAGTGTTCATTTAGAAGTAAGCATTGGTCAATGTACCAGAAAGGACTTTGTTGTTTTTCCTCAAACAATACTACAGGACCATGACTACCTGCCCAGTTAGGTGAATGTAAAGTGGATGTAACTGGATTCAGTTACATCTGAAAGAAGACGCTTCCAACAGGGCAGCACTACCTCAGCAGTGCATGAGGTCAACCTAGACTATATGCTCAACCTTCTCTAGTGGAACCTCTGATGCAGAGGCAAAAGGGTTACCACAGAAATATGGGCAACATTTCCAAATCAATCACATTGGGTTAACTGTAAATCTTTCGTGGATAGAAACATGGAGTTATCCAGATCTGCTGAGCTTTTCCAGCAATTTCTGTTTTTGTATGGAATTATTCAATTTTCTTTAGACTCTATAAAGCTTGACGAACCCAGCATGAAGACAGCTGTGTATCCTGATGCAGAACCAGCTGCAGCCAAACAATCAATCCTAATAAATAAAAGCAGTGTGATTTAGCAGCTCAAGCTATTTACATAAAAAGAAGTGTGGGCTCCAAACAATTAGAGGAAAGCTTCAGATACTTAGTAGTAGTAGTATCGGCCTAAAACACGAATTTTCTGAAAGTTCCTGACACTATCAAACTGAATTATGGTACAGAGGTCAATTGAACACATTTGAAATCCACAAAATGGTCAGAAAAACAATATTACAAGTTCCAGAATGTTTAATTACATAAAAAGGATATAAGAAAGATATATAATAAACTCAGCCATGCTTAACAAGCTAAACAAATACAGCATAATTGTCCATTTTGAACTATACATTGCAACATTAAAGTTAGAGTAGCCTCTACTGCCACCCCACCACTGCTAAGATTATTTAGTATCTGTGCCACCTAATGCTTTGTTTTCCACTCCGCTGTCACAGTTCATAAACTGCAATTAATCAAGAAAAGTACTCAAATATTTATCCATTCACAGCCTCACCCATCTGATTCACTAACATCCTTTAGTGAACAAAATCTGCCATTTGTACCTAGTTTGGCCTACATAGGACTGCAGACCCACTGTAATGTGACCAACTCTGCAGGCAGTAAATCATGGCCTAGCTAGCATATTGCATACGTCCTATGAACCGACATCAAAAGAAAATTTTATCATTCCAATTTTTCCTTCTCACTGGTCATGTCAATTAAAATCTTTACCCAAGGCTTTGAATTGTTCTGTGGCTCTCGCCTTCATTTATTCTAATTTCAGCAGTGTAGCCTGCTCACATCCTTCTCTAACTTTAGACAAATACTTCTGTGCTGTCTACTTTCTACCAGTGGTGGCTATTGATTCATCTGTTACATTTCTGTCTTAGACGTCCTAATAAAATGTTTCTTAGACCTTCTTATCCCCTCCATTCCTGCTTTGTGAAGCTGTAAAATATTTGCGTTATTTTAGCACCTTCATTAATTTATGAATTCTTCCTTTCTCCACAGCATCCATTTGTCACACCACTCTAAACTACTCTGATTAGACTTTTGGAGATGTGAAAAGTGCTTTTTTTGACGAATATAGACAGACAAAGTAATAACTTTCACCAACCTCAGCTAGAAATCAATAAGAACACATGAAAAGACATACCAGCTATTAAACAGAATAGGTTCTTTGCGTTTTGTTTGTAATTCAGAGCCAACCTGAACTATGTGCAATGCCAAAATAGTCACTATCAGATTTGTGCAGAGGCAATGGCTAGATAAGTTGATGTAGTAATGTTCATTTAGAAATAAGCAATGGTGAGTGTACCAGAAAGGACTTTGTTGTTTTTCCTCAAACAATACTATGGGATCATGACCATCTGCCCTGTAGGTGAATGTGAAGTGGACATTACTGGATTCAGTTTAACATTTCATCTGAAATGCTTCCTAATACAGTAGAGCAGCATTTTTGAAGGCGCACAACTGACAGCCCAGAATAAAATCTTGGTTCAGGGGTAGCACTTTCACTTCCACTACAAATTTAAACAAATAATCTAGGCTAATTCATCAATGTGTTTTGAGGAGTGCCACACTGTCAGAGGAAACTCTTTTGAATAAGAAATTAAACTGAAGCCATATCAACTGTTTCCAGTGAATGCAAAAGGTCCCATAGCACTAATCTGGAAACAGTAGGTTAGTTCAACCAGTCTATGGATATTTACCCTTGACTAATATCATTGGAACAGCTATCTGGTCGATAGTCAGTATTTTTTGTGGAACCTTGGTGTGATGCAAAGACATTGTTGCATTTTCTTCAGTTCAACACAAACTACATTGCAAAAATACTTAATGGTTATAAAGTGCCGTGAGATATAAACACTTGTAAGTGAACCTTCTTTAGTAAATGGAAATCCTGGTCAATGTCATATCTCAGTTGATCCTAAACTGGATTCTTAATTTCAAAGTTAGCTGATCAATTATCAAAACTGGAAGTGGGCCACAAAATTTGGCCCAATCAGCTCCAGGTTGGGGAAGAGGGTAGAGTATACAAACAGTCAGAATTCCTTCTGGTAATCACCATTATTGAAAATAGACAAGTAAACGTCAGGCATGAAACGGATCAAGCTCGACTGTCATGCTCCTTACCTAGCCTCAAAAATGAAGAATGATGAAGTTGTGCACAGTAGCAGATGACCACAAAACCATATTCTTGAGTGTGTTAGGGCCTGAAAGAGAGGAAATTCGAAAAAGGACATGTATCAACATTATTTACATGAATTTTCAAAAGACATTTAGTGATATAATATTAACCATAGAATTGGAATATGTAGAACCTTAAGTACATTTTAATAGATGTGCAGGTAAGTAATGCTGTATCTGTAACAGCATCTTGTTATAAGGGTACCAAATCTGCTTATTGTCCAGACAATTCTTTTCTTCCCAGAACAAAAAGTTGCAATAGAGAACTAGATTCCTAAATGTGATTCCTAAACAACAATGAATTATGATCATTAGAGTTCTGATATCAAAGCACAAACTACCTGACATAAGAATAAACAGTGGAAGATGGAAAAAAGCAGTTATGTCTACACCATATGCACAATGTGTGGCTATTACCGATTTGCATGTTTAAATTATGCATCAATGTTTATGTTTACGTGTCACAAGGGAGTTTATTTAGTTTTGGATCGATTTGTTGGCAGAAACTGTGTAGATGCTACCTCTCTATACACCACGTCTTCCACAATGACATCATACTTAATGTATTTACTAATTTTCAGTTAAACGCTATGAAGCCAGTTTAAAAATAAAGTAAATGTTTTGAACAGATACTTGAACATGCAAAATATTTAAATCTGTATTTGAAAGCTGAATGCACTATTTGCATTCATAACATAACCACTTCACAATAAACGAACTAGAATCCAGCGGACTTAGTCTCACATTCCACCTAATGCCAGTTTTTTTTTTCCCAATCAAATCTTCTCGAGTATTGATTTCGCTGTTTCTCTCAGTTTAAACACATTTTCATTTCTCTCGACAAGAACAAAACCTTCAATGACAGTGAACCTCAAGCATAGATGGGGGGCGGGGAGCGGAGATGAGGCGGTGGAAAAGCAGAAAACAGAGAAGCAAAACAAAACATTGAGAGGCTAGATATCTTAATAGCTAAAAAAAGGAGCTCTACTTGCAGAAAAGTCCCTGGATGTTTGCGGTCTGACATGAGGAAAACAATCAGATGTGTGAAATCACAGCAGCAGTGTAGCAGCCATGATGCAGGTTAGTAATGCCGCATTATTTGTCTGCACGAGCAGCATTAGAATCAGAAGAGCCCGGGCTCGGATTCCAACCATCGCTCGCGCTCGAACAAAGGATCCGGAGCCGCCCTCCCTTTCTCCCTCCTTCTCTCATACACACTCACTCAGTGCGCTTCACTTCACTCCTCTCCTCCTCCTCTCCACTCCCCCCGCCCGCTCGCTCCCTCCCTCCCTTCCACTCCACTTCTTCACACACTCACTTCATCCCCACTTATGCTGCCTCATTCTTTTTTATTCTCCTCTCCCCTTTACCTCACCCGGTGTCGCTGTTTTCTGAAAACACGACAGACTCGCATAAGACGGTAAGTTAAAACAAAAAAAATCATTTACCTTTGTTTTTATACATATAGATATGCACACATATAAATCTAGGTATGGACAAAACCAGAGTCTGTATCCCCCGCGCCCACAAACACTACGGCACCGTCTCACTCAATTGCACACTGCAGGAACGACGACGCTAGCACTCACTCAACCCCCGCCCCCCGCTAGATAGTGAGCTTACACGCGATTCCGCCTTAGTCTATAACGGTCCGTAACGTCGCGTAGGGCCGACTTCCTGCCAAAAAGTGCTCCTGCTGATTCTTTGTGCAGCAGCGGAGAAAGAGAGCACTGCTGGCCTGCCCTTCACTGACATTATGCAGATACAAGAGACTCTATTGTAAAAAGACTCAACTATTTTCGTTCCCTCCCCTGGATTGTACGCAGGCGCGCCAATTTAAAGCTCCCGGGTTTCTTTTGTTCTTATTTGAACCTAGGAGACAGCTGTGAAAACAAGTTTGGGAACGTACTTAATGGATATTTTGTGTCAACCTTAGTGTTTTAAATGAAAGTTGTGGGTCTGTCATAATTCCCTTGGCCAGTTGATATAACTGGGGAAGTTAATTTTGTGAAAGTAATAAATGATCCTCTTCGTGCAAAGCGATGCATCACAAAAGTAAAAACCTTATCAGGGTGAAATGTTGTAAAATTTACAAATCAGACCAGGGGCTAAAGTAGTACAACATAATATGTATTTACATAGCACATTTCAAATTATAAAATGCACCATAATGCTACAAAGCATAATTTTGACACATTGCCACGTTAGGACCAGTGACCAAAAGCTTGATCAAAGAGGTAGATTTTAATGAACGTTTTAAACGAAGAAAGTGAAGGGGAAAGTTTAGACATGTAGTTCCAGAGCTTGAGGTTTAGGTATCTGATGGCAAATTCATTGATTGTGGGGTGATTACAGACAGGGGTACTCAATAAGGCAGAAATAGAGAAGTTCAGATATCCTGGCGAGATGTAGAGCCACTGAGTCATAGATGTACAGCACAAAAACAGACCCTTTGGTCCAAATCATCCTAAATTAATCTGAAGAAGGGTCTCAACCCGAAACATCAACTTTCCTGCTCCTCTGATGCTGCCTGGCCTGCTGTGCTCCTCCAGCTCCACACTGTGTTATCTCTGACTATCATCGGCAGTTCTTACTATCTCTAAGTTAATCTAGTCCCATTTGCCAGCATTTGGCCCATATCACTCTAAACCTTTCCTATTCATTTACCGATCCAGATGCCTTTACATGTTATAATTGTACCAGCCTCCACCACTTCCTCTGGCAGTTCATTCTGTACATGCACCACCCTCTGAATGAAAAAGTTGCCCTTTAGGTCGCTTTTAGATCTTTCCCCTCTCACCTTAAACCTATGCCCTCCAGATTTGGAATCCCCTATCCTAAGGAAAAGACCTTGACTATTCACCCTATCCATGTCCCTCATGATTTTCTAAACTTCTATAAGGTCACCCCTCAGCCTCCGATACTCCAGGGAAAATAACCCCAGCCTATTCAGCCTCTGCCTATATCTCAAACCCTCCAATTCTGGCAACATCCTTGTAACTCTTTTCTGAACCCTTTCAAGTTTAACAACATCATTGGGAGACCAGAATTGAATGCAGTATTCCAAAACGGCCCAACCAATGTCCTGTACAATCACAAGATGACCTCCCAACTCTTATACTCAATACACTGACCAATAAAGGCAAGTGTACCATATGCCTTCTTCACTACCCTCTGTTGGGTAGTGTACTAGTGCTTTGGGAGGCAGGAAGTTAGAATTTGGTGTTTGTAAAATGCTAGGTGTGGGGGGGGGAACCGTTGTGTGAACTCTTTAAAAGATGATGTGCTTTTTATATGATTAGGGATTTTGAAAGGTCTGTGAGCAGAAGCTTGACAGTTTGCAGGTATACAGACAGCACCTGAATTGAAACATTTGTATCAAAAGGCCATACAATTAGCAGGCCAAGCAGCAGTTCACCAAGACAAATTTTGAATTTAGCCGATCAATTTGAACCAGGCACTTAGATACCAAAAACCAATTAAATTTAAATCTGATGGCTTTGACAACATAGGACAAATCCTATTGTAATAAATTGAATGTCATCAGCGTATAAAAGAAGGGGCAGTTGGGCAAAGTCAGGAGACCAAACTGTCATCTGCCAGAGTTAACAGCCATCACCTCTCAAGAGCGAATCGCTGACTCTGACAGACTCTTCTATGTCTTAGAGAAAGCACCATCTAAAGAACAAAGGTACCCATGGTGTAACGAGTGAATATTCCTGATGGAAGAATCGATGGAGAAGGCACAAACTGTTCTAGAAGACACATAACCTGGCGGTAATTTAGAGAGACTAAATTTTTTTTTAATGTTATCATATAGAAATGGGACTTGTGTTTATTGGAACAGCATACTATTAGAATCTTGTTTTATTCGGGAATTGTTAGTAGTTAGAAGGGGTTTATTCGGTTTTTTTAATAGGTTAGTTAATTGGTTCACTGTTAGAGTTAGATAAATAAATTGCTACTTGTTGATTGTAAAGTGAGTGTCAGGGATTTATTTTATTTAACCACTAGAAGTTGCCAAAAGGCAGGTTACACCATTTTTCACACTCCTTTTACAGATTATAGGGTGAGGGTCTCCTCATTGGGTGTTTCTGTTTTAGTTCACAGAGTGGGGGGGGAGGGTTGACCTCCATTTATAATACCTGTCTATCTGTGACTCCACTGTGGGGCCTATGGAGAGAGAATTACGGGGATTTGAAACTGGGTGACTGGACTTGATGCAAGATGGGACACAATCATCAGAATTTTTTAGGAGCTCATGTTTACAGAAGATTGAACATGGTAGACTGGCCAGGGGTATGTTGGAATCATCAAATCTACAGACAACAAAAATGCAGATGATGGTTTCAGCAGCTGATCAGCTGAGATAAAGATGGAATTGGACCATGTTATGAAAATAGAAAGAGTTGGCTATGTGGATGCTACTAAGATCATAAGAAATTGGAACAAGAATTGGCTGTTCAGCCCTTGAGCTGTAAGTAAGATAGTAAACCAATAAGCTTGCAGAATTCACTGTCAAATTGGATTAGGCCAGACAGATATGCAAACCATTTACCTTGATTTACTATATCGAACAGGTGTTGATAAGACAATGCTTCAACGTTTCAAATGGAAGAATAGATTGGAGTTTTGGCAGAACTGTTTTTGAGATAGCCCAGCTCTTGGGGTAGGCTGAATCAATGGGGAAATTTCAATATCCAACATTGCCTTTTACAACACCCTTCCTGGGACAAAAACTCATTCAAATGGGGTAACTGAATTATGTTAAATACATTGCTGTATCAAACTGCTGTAACTACATAGCAGGAATCTACATGTCAGTTGTATGCTGACATAGTAAACGATTATAAGCCATCATACTTGGGGATGACCTAGACAACTGTATTTAAAGGGACCACTCGAATCAGAGGGGCTGAAATTCCAGACATCAGCACAAGAAGCAGGAACCTTGGGAGTGAGAAGAACAGCCTCAACCTTAGTCCAGCCAGCTGTAATCTGGGTAGTATAGACTTCTTTACCATCTTGTGCTTCCAAAACAGATTTAAACTTGATTAAAGGTTACTCAGGAAATAAAGGGAAGGAATTACATATATATTTCATTTCAATGATAATAAACCACATCTCATGGTAAACTACATCCCATTATCAGTAAGTAAGAAAGTAAATCAGATACACAAAAAAAAATTTACATTTATGATATGGGGCTCAAGTATTTGTGATTTAATCCTCCAAGTGTGAACCATAAGCCCGGGATTTTTTTTTTCTTTCTTGGTCATTTCTTCTTGAGTCAGTTGAGGTAGCTGCCCTACACAAAGGCCAAGAATCTAAAGGAATGAACGAGGACCCAGACCAATCAACTAGTAATCAGTCCATAAGCCAATGTTCTGAAGAGCAGAACGAACAAGTGGTAGAAGTTGAAAAGACGTGTGGAAAACTCTACAATCAAGCCACGAGAAAGGGCTAAGACCTACCTCCTGGTAGCATCAGAAGGATTTAACAGCTCAGACTCAGAGAGACTGAAATGGGAATTTAATGAAAGCTGGAACCCAAACGCAGTGGATTCCCATTTCCTTAACAAAGTTAGCGAGAGTGGCAAGGACAGATATTGTGTTAGGGACCCTGAATAAAAGAAGTCAGTGGCAAGGAACCAGATATTGGGTCAGGGATCCTGAGTAAAAGAAGCCAAATGCAAAGTCAGGGACCCACAGAGTAGTACAGAGTGAGAGAGAGAGAGATAGAGGGAGAGACATTATATGTGAGAGAACCAGAGCAGCAGAATAGCAAACTATATTCCTTTGTCAGTTTCACCTAGTAGAAACGAACCGTATTCCATTGTCAGATTCATAGAGTAAGAGAACTGGGGTAAACGCCTTTCTGGGAATTTAACTGGTAGAAACATTTGTGTTGAAGTAATGGTGCCAAAAGAGTAGGAAAGGGAAGTGCGATAGCAAGTGTGATGACTGAAATTGAAAGCTTGCGGCAGGCTGTTAAAATACTGCTGGAGTAAAAGACCAAGAATGATATGTGACGATGCTGTTACTTTAAGAGATTATTTTTTCCTGGTTTTTTTTTAAGAGAAGTTGTAGGGCGGAGATCAAGAGCAGTCTACCAAAATCAGTAGAGTGAATAGCTCGTGAGGCCTTGGGTTGTTTTTAAAGTTGGAACAATAGAAGCGGCCTGGATGGGTGTGGCCAGCACTCACAGACTGGAAATTCTGGTTTTTTTTAGTTTTTAAGTTTAACTTTAAGCAGTTGCTGTTGTGGGCTTGAAGAAGTGGAAGTTATTTTTCCCTCTCTCAATTACTGCCAAAAGCTGGGGGTTCTCTTCCTAGGTTGCTAGATTGCATGTGAGACAAAATCTGTTTTTCTGAATCTACCTTTTTGCTGAAGAGTATGTTTATAGGATGTTACTATATTGGAACAGTCAATTAATAATAGTTACTGTATCTGCTATTCTGTTAAGTTTTCCAATAGAGTTGTTATTTTAAATTCCCTTTTTTTGGTTGTGTTTTAACTATAACATTTAGATAAAATGTGTTCTGCTTAACTTCGAGTAGTTTGACCAGTCGTAATGCACCTGGAATATGGCAAATTACATTTACATAAGAAGTAGTTAGGGTCTAGTCTACCTTCTTAAAATATTTTGAGAGGGTCTGGTCTGGTCTATAACATAGTAAAATTAAAGAATTGACGAATAAGATATAGGACAAACTGGTATAGTGTAGAGGATATGTTACTCAGTTGGAGGATCAGCAAAATATGATATCCAGTTTGGCTCGTCAGAAGGACAGCAATACCAGCAGCAAATCACCCAAGTGCGAGACCAGTGTGAAGATCTACAGAACAGGATATTGGTAGTGCACCAGATGTCTGATACAACCCAGCAAGGAAAAACAGTAGACGACGCGCAACGTTTAAAGGAGGTCGAGCAGTTACAACAGCAGCTAAAAGCAAAATGGGGCATAGTTTGTGCTTGTTCGAACAAAAGAGGCGAGAATGAACCCGATTGGGATACGCTCGATGAGGCAGTTTGGCAGTATGGGTGCGGGTGGGGTCACAGGGCGATCCCACTGGACAAAGACCCACCTCTTGCACGTGAATCGAAAGTTCCATCCATACCGTCTGTAAAATGTGCTGTGCATGATACCTTGCCGATGACCGCCGTAATTACCATTAGATTCATGACAGAGGGAAATGCCGAGAATTCCTGCCCTATAATACAGAGCACTTTCTAAAGTAAGCCAGTTGAGGGACATGCTGAAAAGGCAGGCACCTTTAAACCAGTAGAAGATCCAATAGATCACTTTACTGACGGATACAGCAGAAGAATTTTTCCACCAAATGCACCAGATTCGCCTACAGCAGGGGTTGAAAATGATGAAGGAAAGAAGTTTATATCGCTAGCCTCTGAAGGTAGTGTCAAATCAGTTCTTCAAGAAACTCAATAGATAGGTCGAGTGACTTTAGAGGACTTGAAAACAGTTATTAAAGATGCAGTAAGGTAATTCGGCTGAGGATCTTCATAAAAAACCTGACAGAGGAAGGGAGAACACGCTACAGCCTTTACAGTCCTTTTTTTTGCTGTTTTCAATACTCTGTATGGGTCAGGTCTGAACGAGAGAACTCAGAGGAAAAGAAATCCATTTTGCTCAGACCCTTGATCTCCCATAGCACACCGCAGGCTTAGGCAGCGTGTGATCGTTTCGGTCCCAATGACAATGCATACACAGAAGCATGGATCCTACATTGGATGGCTAGGTCATGGGAAAGAGAAATGCAGGAGACATCAAAAAGAAAAGCAACAACAGAGATGGCCTTTGTGACCTGAAAGAGTGGGGGGCAGGTCAGAGGAACAGGTAAAGGCACCTCTTCTTCTCAAGGTCCGTCCAGAGCAGCATAAGACTATGCAAACCCAAGAGACAGGGCGAGGACTTTGTATGTGGACAGATAGGACTACTCACTGGGGCTCCCATCCCAGAAAAGAGCATCACACTCCTCTGGCCTAGAAGGGCCATGCAAAGGAGAAGACTTTCGCATAGTTAATGTTGAATCTGGAGACCCTGACTCCAAAGACCTTCTCTACCAAACAAGGTACCCTATTCACGGAGACAGTTCTTAGTGAAATGGGTTTGCTGGACAATGCAGGTCTACGCAGTGAGTCACCCAATTGTCCCTTGCTTGGTTGGAGGTCATTGGGTTACAATGTTTTGGGACATGGGAGGGTTCTGCACCACTATTAATCAAATCAGTTTATATGATACGTCCTGGCAAACCTGCAATACCATAAAGTTGAGCAGATTTACCTGTCACTCCAAGCAAGGGGTGGAGATAGGATCAACTGACATCAAAATTTGAAACCTTATTGTTCCCCATCAGGTTAATTTACACTTTGGGACAGGAGGGAGAGCATACTTTAGGAACGGATTATATGCAGAAGGCAGGACAGGCTTGGGACCCTCTCAATGACTGCATCTGGGCTTTTAACAGTATAACGTAACAGAAGACAGTGATCCAAATGGGAATTTATGCAGGCAGGGTCTACTGTAATAATCCTTAAGAGTCAAGCCAGATGAAATGACGTATGATCAGGAAATTTAAAAAGATCATACAGCAAAATGCGACAGTGTTTGCCTGACATAAACGTGACTATGGGAGGATGATATGAGACACTGATATAGAGGGGCCTCACCTGGTGCCCCAGTGTCAATTATAGACAGCTGAATAAGGTTACTCCCCTCACTGACACTATGGTGGTAAATAGTACAAACACCATGT